GTGTGTGTGTGTGTGTGTGTGTGTGTGTGTGTGTGTGTGTGTGTGTGTGTGTGTGAAGCTCCTGGGCCGATTCACCTCTGGCATGGAAGCCAGCCTGCCTGTCCCCTGTTCCCTCATCTGAGGTTCTCGGGGTGGTAGGTGTATTTTCTTTACACACCATGGTCCCCACCTGCCCCTCTAGCATCATCCTGGACTGCCAGGAGTGGCGGCACTTCAAGGAGGCCGCTGGCCTGCACACGCCCCTGGAGGAGGACATGTTCCACCTGCGTGGCAGCCTGGCCCCCCAGCTCTACCTGCGACCCCGGGAGACTGCCCACATCCCCTTCAAGTACCAGAGCTTCTCCGTGGGCCCACTGGCTCCACCACAGGTGTGAAGTCAGGGAAGTGCTGTCCATCGAGGTGGCAAAGCGGAACAGCATTTCTCTGTATTTGCAAATGTCCCTACTCAGCCGGCGTCTGCACCAGGGGACCCCTGACTGGTGCCTGCCCCACCTGTCACTCGGTGTGTGCTCCTCTTTGGTGCTATGTGCAGCAGCCTGGATCCTTCTCTCTTTCTCCTGGGAGGGCATACCTGCACCATCCCTGTGTGTGCTCCTGCACAGAACCAGCAGAGTGCTGGGAAGGCACATGCCAGTTGTGTGAGTGTGAAGGGGAGGGACCCACTGAAGCTCTGGCCTCTTTAGAAGTTAGTTCTGCAGTCACTTACGAGGGGATTGAGGAGTCCCAGTTCCTCAGATGTCCAGCTGGCTCTGTGGACAGGCCACAGGGCAGTGACTGAGTTGGGTGGGTGAGGCTGGAAGTCAGCATCATGCTGTGAGAGCCTGCCTGAGAACAGGATGGTGACACCTGGAGCTCACGGCCCTGGCTGGTCCAGGTTCTGATTGTCACCTGACTCGCCCTGACTCACTTGTGCTGCTCCGTGTCTCACAGACCCCTGCTGAGATGAGCTCAGAGAAGGACCCAGAGTCTGGACCCCTTTGGAAGCACAGTACCATGCCTACTAAACACGCCAAGGTAGGGGGACTCGGGATGTCTTAGAGCAAGTCAAGTGTCAGAGCACGCCAAACCAAGCATGTGGCGTCTGCTGTGAGACCTTGACCCCTCCTCCTCTCTTCCTGGGTAGGCTCCTAGACTGAAATAAGATGTGGCAGAGACAAGGAGGCCACAGCTGTGCCTAGACACTGGCACAGCCCGTGATAGGGTCCGGCGTGGGTGGATCACCTGGCAGCTCTATGCAGCCTTGGCTCTGTGCACAGGAAGCTGGTTGTCCTAATGGCTGCCGGCTACTGCCCCCTAAATACAGCTGTCATAGCACATGGCCACTTGGCAGCATTCTAAAGGTGTGTGTGTGTGTGGTATGTATGCGAGTGTGTGAGTGTATGCACTTGTGATAGGTAGGTAGATAGATAAAGGTGTAGATAGACAGACAGACAGACAGATAAACAGATGGAAAGATGGGGAATGTTCTTCCTAGAAATAAGTCTTTAGACATGTTCTCTCAGCAGCCTACTGAGAGGGTGGTCTTTGGAAGACCTGAGATTTTACCCTCTTTTGTAGGAAAATGCCTGTTGTGGTACTTTGGTCTCCCTCCTCCTCCCACAGGTCTCACTTAGTGTAGTCTGGACAGAGGGTGGCCCGAAGGCCGCCATGTTCCAGAGTCTCACTGTGTGCAACCTTTGCACTGTACCCACCAGGCCACAATTCCCGTGAGAACTGTGTCTGGTCTGTAAGCAGAGCCTTGGCTTCACCTGCGTGGAAGGAATGCATGCATTGTTTTGTGCTGCAGATGGTGACTGAATGTGTGTGTGTGTGTGTGTGTGTGTGTGTCTGAGTGTGTGTGTGTGTGGTGACACACTGTCACCAGTCGACTGGCTGGGGTCCTTTTACTTAGGCAAGAAGACCGTCTTCAGGTTCCCATCTCTGCGGTTTCCCCACTTTGCTGTTTGTTGGGGGTCATCAGCAGCGGCAGCAGCAGCAGTGGCAGCAGCAGCAGCAGCACCCTCTGCAGCCACAGCTCTCACCAGGTCTCTGGTAGCTGGACACTTAGCTCAGTGTTAGTTCTGTGTAAGCCGTGGAAGCCAGGGCTCCTCAGCCCTGACAGCAGCCATTGTCACAGTCCTGGGCCTGGCATAGCCAAGACTTGGCCCTTGGAGACTGGACGGCTTCTGGAACTCTCCCAGGACCAGGACTGGAGAGTGTCTCCTCTGGCTCTGTCCGGCCTTCTTCGGCCTCAGTTCTCACCCCTTGCCCTGAGCCCACCATGCCTTGTCCTGTCCCTGCGGTGACCACTCCGAACTGCTCAGCTGTCTCTTGTTGCTATGGCTACTGTTACAGTTGTCACTGCTCAGGAAGCAGCTGCTGCTCCCTGTCACTCTGCTGCTGTGGTGGGATGCCTGTCCCGGGGCTGTCTCCTTTGCGGCTACCAAGGCAGCCAGTAGCTCCGCCGCTTAGGCAGCTTGGCCCGCCAGACACTCGGCTTCGCTTCTTCAGCTGCAGGTAGCTGGCTGGTCTGCCACTCTGCGGAAAGTGGGCAAGAAGAGAAGCCTTTCAGAGGGCCTTCTGTTGCAGGACGGGGTGTCTAGACCCCAGCTGGTGTTAGGTTAGTTTTAAAATTGAAGAATGTTCACAGGAATCCAGATTCAAACTAATATAAGGTATATTTTCAGGAAGATCTCACTCCCCACCTGCCTTCAGCTCATTTCTTCCCAGTATGCCGTGTGTGTTGTGTACGTTTGTCTCTGTGCAGGTGTGCACTGTGAGTGCCTGTGTGACCAGAGCTTCTGCCATTGCACCTCCTGTCCATTAGTTCTTCTGGATAGGCAGGCCAGTGTTTTTGTAACTGTTTCGACAGAGGAGCATTTCTAGTTCTGGTCTCCTTGGTGTAGGCATCTCCTCCTTTCCTCCACCGGGGTCGTAGGGCCTGTGCTGTGCTCTGTCCCTAAACACAGCACCCGGTGCCACCATGGGGCCTGGTGAGGTTAAGGGTGAGACCCCTCTGCAGTGATGCTCAGACGTCCCAGCCTGTGGAGGTGGAATCCAGACCGGAGTAGTTCTTGGTGCTGCTGGGTGGCTAGTTGGTCCGCTGGGTTTTAGGAGTGTGCCTTGCATAAGCTCAGGGATCGGCATGTCTGTGAGTGCACCCCAGATCCAGTCCATGGATCCCCTCACTTGTGCACCCACGGATGCATTTCAGTGTCTGTCTTTCCCATCTCACTTTGGGGATGATGGTGAGCTCCTCATGCTGTCCAGAGGGGTCCACGAAGCTGCCACATGTCCATCTCTGCAGGTTCTTTTCCGGGTGGAGAGTGGCCGGCCCATTGCAGTGCTCTGCCTGACTGTGGAGCCCCAGCCCCATGTGGTGGACCAGGTCTTCCGCTTCTACCACCCAGAACTCACCTTCCTGAAGAAGGCCATCCGCCTGCCTCCCTGGCACACACTTCCAGGCAGGTCCCCCAGGTCCCTGTGGCTGCCATTGTGCAGGCTCGGCTAACGGGAAGAGGTACCTCCAAAGTTCTGACCTGCCTTTATGGTGTGAAATAGAAGCTTCCAGCTTTCTCTGGGGTGACAAGGTACATATTTGGTGGCTGGTTCCACAAAGAGTTCATGGCTCCCATGACCCAGACCTATCCCCATCAGGCATGAGGGTGTGTGCGGCTGGTGGCGTCCTGATGGTGCCTCAGTATTGGTGGTTCTTCGATTATGTGTGGCCACTCCCTCTGATTGACAGCCTGATGAGACTGAGGAATGCGCTGGGTCAGGGCAGCAGCATCTGCACCCACAGTCATGCATTGTGTGTGTGTGTGTACTCTGGGCTAAGTGCAGGGTTATCCCTTTCTCCATTCCCAGGTGCTCCTGTGGGGATGCCCGGTGAGGACCCCCCAGTCCATGTGCGATGCAGTGACCCAAATGTCATCTGTGAGGCTCAGAACGTGGTAGGCTATTCGTGTCAGCCCCACTTGAGCAGATCCTTTGGGGAACTCCCTCCCATCCCCACTGCATCCTCACAGCCTCCCTTTGGTCTCAAGATGAGGGTTCCTTCTGCAGGGCTGTGTGTGGGGGGGGTGGCTATCCTGACATCATGAGGAAGGCTTCGTGAAGGAGCTTTCAGGTTTTCTGCTAGCAGATCTGTTCCTTGATTATCTGAGTTTAAATTTGAAGAAAAGGCATGAAGCAGAATGAGCTGAGCATGGTAATTGAGGCACTTACTGATTGCCATTACGCCGAGGGTAGGGCGCTAATTGTATTATGACTGGTTGGGAAGCTGGATAGAGTCGGTGGGATGTAATTATTGGAATCCATATAAGATCAGGAAGCTGTGATTTTCCTGAGCAGCGAGCAAAGCAGTGAGTCCCAACGCATAGAGAAGACGAAGGCATCACATGAGGGAGGGGCTGTGCTCACCTGCCTTGCCTCACCCAGCTGCAAGCACCTGGCCGGGTGCAGCCCAGCAGAGGACATGGGTGGCTGTGAACCAGGGTGCCCCGTGCTATGTTTGGCAGGGTCCCGGCGAGCCACGAGATGTGTTTCTTAAGGTGGCCAGCGGTCCAAGCCCGGAGATCAAAGACTTCTTTGTCATCATCTATGCGTAAGCACAGACACAGATGGGGGAGGGGCAGAGTGAAGTCAAGGGACCTGACTCTCCCTCGGCATCATGGGTACTGGTGCTTTGCTCTGTGAGGAGAGCTTGGAGACCAACCAGGCCTTGGTGATGGCATGCCCTCTCCCAGAGTAGCACAGTAGCCCAGGAGATGGACATGACACGTGTCCTCCAAGGAAGGGACGGTGCAGCTGTCTGGCCCAGAGCCAGCCCCAGATGACTCTCCCCAGCCTCCCCTCTGGATTTGCACTGAACCCTGAAGTCGGCTGGAGCTCAGCCCCTGTATGGGTGGCTGTCTTCATCTTCTGCACCTGGAGACTGGTCCAGCCACGCCTTGGCTTTTTATCCAGCTAAACTGTTCCAGTTGGAGCCCCCTGGGAGCCCTTTAAAACTGGAGCAGCCTAGGATGCGTTCCGTGTGGCTTCCGACAGTGGGACTGTGGGAGTTAGCTATATTTGGGGGTGAGGGGCTGTGCAGCACCCGTACCGTATGAATGGGTCTCAGTGGTTCCTTGTAGCAGCCTGTGAACGCGTATCGCCCACTGTCCCATTTTATAATAATGCCATAGAATCTCAGAGCTGAAGACTTGATGTCAGGCCCTGAGCTCAGGCTTGTGGCCTCCAGCCATGATCCCCACTGTCCTAAGGCTTGGCCATGATTCAGTTTTCCAGACTGCAGACTTGTGCAGAGCTCACATTTTCGTCACCTGACATGCATTTCTCAAGCGTCCCCAAACTCAGCAGTGCCCTGGGACAGACAAAATCTGCATTGCCCCAGCTTGAGGGATTCCAGGTTAAGGCAGGGGTGGCCAGCCCCAGCCTGCACACAGGGTTCCCATCCAGTGTGGCTTCCTGTGGCCGCTCTCCCTGTGGCCGCTTGGCTCCCAGCCGTCCTGGAGCCCTCCCCGTGAGCTTTCTTCTCATGAGGCTGCCCCGCTAAGATGTGTCCATGACCCCTGTCATCTGCAGGGATCGCTGGCTGGCGGAGCCTGTGCAGACATGGCAGGTCTGTCTCCACTCCCTGAAGCGTGTGGACGTCTCCTGCGTCGCAGGACAGCTGACCCGTCTGTCCCTTGTCCTACGGGGGACACAGACTGTTAGGAAAGTGAGAGCCTTTACTTCCCACCCTCAGGAGCTGAAGGTAGGGCCCTTCTTGGAGTTGGGGGTCTCTTCGCTTCTCTGAGCCCATTCCTGCCCAGCCTGCAGAGGCACAGGGTGGCCGGTGGCAGCTTTGACATCCCCTCCCCACTGAGCTACCTTTTATGAAAACTGCCTTTTGCTGGATGTGGTGTTGAGAATGAGGGACCAGTACATGCCCCAGAGGCTTTTGGGGTTATTAAACTTGACTCTCAGGAGCTGCGTCACCGCCAGAGGGCTGCGCCCTGACCGCTCCCTTGTCCTTGAAGACAGACCCTGCAGGTGTCTTCATGTTACCGCCTCATGGGGTGCAGGATCTTCACGTGGGTGTGAGGCCGAGGAGGGCTGGCAGCCGCTTTGTCCATCTCAACCTGGTGGACATGGACTACCACCAGCTGGTGGCGTCATGGCTCGTATGCCTCTCCTGCCGCCAGCCTCTCATTTCCAAGGTCTGTATGAACAATGGG